ATCAGCTCTGACGCCCTTCAGGCCCTCCTTGAGCGCATCCAGAATCTCGTCATTAGCCGAGAGGTCACCGGCTTTGTTAGAGAGCTTGTCAATACTCTTTTTCAAATCGCCGAGTCCCTCTTGCAGAGCATGGAGGATTTTCGTCTCCGCCACCTCACCGGTGTGCTGAGAGGTGGTATTCATCTCCTTACGAATAGTACCAATGGCTTCGAGAATCTCGGCATTGCTGCCGGGCTGCGCGAGTGGCGTTACGGGGACCAAGGTGCCGTTGACGACGTCGCGGAGTGATTCAAGTTCCTCCCTTAGCAGATCATTGGTGCTCTGAGAAGCCTTCTTGACCAACTCCGCCACTTCCTCCCTAAATCTCTCCAATGTTTCAGTCATGTGCGGGATCAAATCGTCGGAGTTGCCGTCGGTGCGGGCGCGGTCGACGTACGCTTCGATGTCATGCCTCAGTTTCTCGAAATCGTCCATGGTAATACCAGGCGTAGTCCGCTCAGCGTCACCACCACGGGAGGTGGGTTTGCTGTTTTCTGAGAAGGCGCGGAACTCATCTCTCAGCGAATCACGGATTTCGTACAGTCGCTCAATGATTTCTTCAGTTTCGGGCTTCAGGATGGAAGGAGGCGTGGTGCCGTGGCGGACGAGAGCTTTGGAATGTGAGCCGGAGAGATCCGAGAGGTCTCGTTCTTTTAGACTCTCTTTGACAGCGCGGGCGACATCTCCTGAAATATCAAGCGCATCAAATCCTTCGCGGACGGCATCAGCAAGGTCGACACGCGACAGATCAGGGCGGGGGAGGTAAGAAGCGATATGCTGTGCGAACTCGGGGGTTTGCAATGCTTTGACGACGGCGCGTGTGACATCGCAGGGAAGATCCATGGTTTCGATAGCTTCCTGGACAGCATCGATCATGTCTTCGCTTGATGGGCCGGCAGAGGAAAAGTCGAATGTCTCCAGCGCTTTGGTGACGGCGGTTTGCATGTCCTTTGGTAGATCCAGAGACCTTACACCATCTTGCACGGCTTCGGCCATGTCAACAGTGAAGTCGAACTTGTTGAGGCTCTCGTCCATTGCGTTCACCACCTCTTGACGCTTCAGGGGCTTGGGGAGGTCGCTCAAACCATCCTTGACCGCACTCAGAATGTCGTCTTTCGAAAGTTGGGGAGTGACCGGGAAGTCGAACTCATCCAGACATTCCCTGACAGATTCGAAGACATCGTCCCGGGAGACCGCCTCAAACTTGCTGAACCCTTCGTTGATAGCAGCGAACACGTCTTGCTTGGAAGCCGTCTCCTTTGGCAGATACATCCCTAGCCCCTCCTTCAAACAATCCAGCACTTCGTGCCTTTCCAACCCGATCTGCTGGATCTCAATTTCAGGTTTGTACTTTTCGAAAGCATCTTGCACCGCTTGTACAACGTCCTCCCTACGAAGCTCCTGCACGCGCGGCTTATTGGCTTGTGAATCCTTGAGGGCAGCACGCATGCTATTGTAGATCTCCCTGTAATCGATCATGGAGTCGATTCGAGGCGCTGCCGCGACTGTCTCTTGCGCCTTCTTGCGGTGTTCGTGCACGATGTTAACCATGTTCTGGCGCATTTCCTCCAGGCCATCTGAGACAATTTTGTTCATGGCTTCCTTTGTAAAATTGTCTACAGGGAGGGTTTGAGGGGACTTGGAGGAGACTTCGTTAAGTCGGCGACCGATTTCTTGGCCCATGTCGAGGACCTCGCCGCGCAGTTCCTTGACGAGAGACTTGACGTCGCTGGTAAGGCTGCCGCCTTGGGCCAGGTAGTCCTTGACTATGCGCAGGGCGGAGAGGATTTCATCATTCATGGAATCGGTGGCACGGGAGCTCTGGGTTTGAGTTGGTGAATTTCCAGATTCTTCGAGGAATCGGCCTACGCGCGAGTTTCGGCCGTCTTCGTCTTCGCTGAAGCTCCAGGCCTTGTTGCGACCGCCGCCGCCGCCGCCGCCACCACCACCTCTCCCTGCTCCGCCAGTAGCTGGTACTAGAGCATGTTGCTGATTGGCTTTGACCAAACGGATGATCTCCTCTAGCTTTTCAGACGTGGAAAAGCCGGAAAGCTGACGGGCGAGTTCGTTAAGTCTCGAGAGAAGCGATTCTTGGCCCTCTTTCGTTCCCATGTCGCGAAGGATCTTTTCTAGAAGAGCAATTGACGATGTGTCGGCCACAAGTGAGGGTGTGCTCAATAGCGACTCTCGATCAAGCGACGCTCCAAAGCTATGTGGCGAAGGTATTCGCGGCAGGGAGAACGGTCGCGACTTTAGTGACGTAGGCGATGGCGGACCCCCACCGTACGCTTCCCTCTGCGCGGCCCTCGACTTGGCCTCGGTGATCAACTCTCGCAAACTCCTGCGAATGTCCTCATCGCGCTGATTGGTGGCCTCTTTCAAGCTGAGCAAGTCTGTAGCATTATCTCTGCTGCGCCTGCTAAGCGCCGACATTTCTCGTTGAAGAGCCGAAGCAATGTTGGTAAGGGTGATGAGCTGGTTCGACAGGGCCTCGAGGCCTAGGGGTGTTACAGTCGTCTTGGTCACTCCGCTGGAGCCGTTAGTGATGTTAGCGAGGGGATCCGAGTCCCTGACCGACGACGACGTTCCGAGGTTGCTGGCACTACTCATGTTCTGAAGGGCGAGCATGGTGGCCGACTGAGGAGGAGTGTTCTCGCCGAGGATGCTCTGATGTGGTCGCCGCATGTTGCTGGTGCTGTTGGCTTGGCGGAGGATGCTGCCTGGGGTCAAACTAGGACCCGTTCGTGGTGAACCCATAGTGGGGGCGGGTTTTAGGGTGTCTTCCTTTTCGTCCTTGAACTCGACGTGGTTCTCACGACTCCTCGTAGGGGTGGATGGCCTCTCGTATATGCTCTCGTACTTGCTCTCGTACTTGTCGTGCTTGTTGTTTTCTTGCTTTTCGTATTTGTCAAACTTGGTGTCGAGTTTGCTATCGAATTTGAAGTCGTGCTTCAAATCGTGCTTAAAGTCGTGCTTCTCTGGTGATCGTGAGGCTGATGTATTGGAGACGTAACCACTCTCAAGCATCAAACTAATATCCTTGACAGTGCTGTTCTGAAGGGAATTCAAACGGCGATGTGACGCAGCCGTAGCTGTGTTGCGCAAAGGGGGCCTCTCTGTCCTCTCTGGAGAAGGGTCACCCGCGGCGCGCTTGGGGATGTGTGGTACCAGGTTAGCACTCTCACGGGCCTTTTCCTGCAAGGCAGCATGGGCAGACTGGATCGCACTCGAGGTGCCAGCTCTAGAGACACCGGGAGACTGAGGGTTGAGTGGAAGCGGCGGTGGTGCCCTCTCGGGGTCTGAGCTATCCCACCTATTTTTCATTAGTTCCTTGAACAAGAGGGACATGACACCATGATGGTCTGCTGTTGGTGTTTTGGGGAAAAGAGGGGAAGCATCCTACATTGGGATCATGGCACGGCCATGATTATCAAACGAGGCGGAATGCGAGTGTCTTAAATCTCGGGGGAGCTGGTGGTGCCCATGGTGGTCCCTCTCTGAGCCAGCGGGCGGCATGGCTTCAGCTGTGTGGGAGGTGTGTGTCGGGAAAACGAGGGAGGGAGTGAGAGAGGGAAGGGAGCCCAGGGCGGTAGGGCGGGCGCGGCCTGGCTGGCGTGGTGGGCGCGAACAGAACTACCACCCGGAGGTGTTTGAGAGTCAATCTGTTCCTGGCCTAAGCTGGGGATGAACCGGGGTGGTCGACCAAGGACCAGGGTCTTTCTGCCGGAGAACTAGTGTAGATAGTAGTAGGGTCCGGTCTGTGCGGTTGGTTACGCCAACAACAAGGACGGAAACGCGGTAGGATCCTGGGTCGGGTGTGTGGTGTCGCAACAGTGGAGGATGGCTTGATAGGACGAGGCCGAGATGGGAAGTAATGTTTCTGGTACTGAACAGTAAGAGGTTGGTAATCCGAATCGGTACCTGATTACCGACCCCTGTTTGCTGAAGCCGAGACCCAAGGTGAAGGGTGACCTTGCTGTTTGGATATCGGACCAGTACTGTAAACACGGTATGACGGTACAAGTATGTATTATGATGCGTGATATGGTATGGCAAACAATTTCCAGGGCTGAGACAAGTTGGAACAGAACCAGGAGGCGTTGATGGGCGGTACGGTAACCTTGATCAACCTGGGATATCGATCCGTGCTCTTCTTCTTTCAGTTGCCGTCTGTTCGTTGTTGTCTGGTCTCCCGTCTCTGTTCCGTTTCCTCTTTTCGGTTGGGTTCCAGAGTTGTTGAAGGCAACACAGCAGCTGTTGTTCGATTGTTCCCTCAGGCGGATAGGCAGTGCAAATATCCGATGGACTCCTCAGGTGTCGTCGTAGTAGTAGAAGTAGTGAATCCAGAATCCAAGCTGCAATATGGAAAACGGAGATAAGGAAAATCGACCAAATGAAAAAACAAACCACACAAGGACTATGTCGGTTGACGTGACTGACTGTCTCCTGTTGTATGGCTGGAGGGGTATATCCTTTCGAAGAGTCGCAAAGCAGCAAAATCGCCAAAGAAAAAAAAAATAAGAAAAAAAGAAAAAGACTTAACACAGCAGCTCTAAGCCTTCCTTGTTTCTGGCTGTCCAAGTCCAGTGTGCTGCAGCAGATGGCGCAAAGCAGGGTATAATGGTCAATGCTAAGTCAGACAGAGTGAACTCCAGTCGCTGAAAGTGACAGCGAGCTGAGTGAATGGATGATGCCGTCCGTTCCAAGGAAGCTTCGTTGGTCTGATGTTGATGGTGTTTGCTTTGGTGCGAAGAGCGAACAGCTGGCTGGCTGGCTGGCTGGCTGGCTGGCTGGCTGACCTCCTTTCTCGCTGCTTTGACTTGGCCAGGCAACAACTCGCTGTGTGGCAGAAGTGAAAACTTGGACTGACGAGTGCCAGGAAGGAGGGGGACGAGCAACCTGAAATTCAGTCGGTTCCTTCCTCAAAATCAAAGAAATCCGACTCGCGACCTGATGACCACCTACCTCGATATTGCACTCGTTCTTGCCCTTGTTCTTTTCTTGCGACAAACCCTGATGAGAACCCAACCTTGCCTGTTCCTGCCAAACCTGTCCCCAAGAATTTCCAACCCACGTTTCTTTCTCGGCGAGGGGCCGCCCGCCCAGGCCCAGAGGGGAGGCTGGGGTGGGTGGGTGGGTGTGGGTTGGTCAAGGGCCAAGCAGGGGTCTTTCAGGGCAGCCAGTCCACTAAATGTCGAGCCGTGGTGGACGGCAGCCCACCTTCCATGGTTCACACGGGAAACCATCAATCACATCACTGGCTCCCTTCCGCCCAACCAATCAATCAGTCCATTTGTGCTCTCTGACCCCATTTGGAGAGACCAATGAGCCAATCATCGTCTCAAATGTCTGTTGATTGTTTGTGCTCTTTCCCTCTGTCGTTGCTCTGCAAAAAAGGCACCCTAGCAACGCGCGGTTAGTCGCGAACCAGGGTTGGCCTCCATGTGTGACCTCAGAGCGCAGTTCTAGTCATCCCCCCCCTACAGTAGCCCAGGAGGTCACCGTCGGATCACAGGCTCTAGTTGCTTATCGATAAGGCTAAGTGAAAAAGGAACAAGGGGGGAAGAGCTGCGCGTCATCCTCCATGTCTTTCCCTCACTAGATCATGAGTGGTGAAGTCTTGGCTTGAAAGGGTGAAGAAAACAGATCGATGCGACAGTTGAGACGTGAACGCGGTACGTATCAAATGTTGGTGACGCTCACCGCAAGAATTGTTATCCAAGCTCTGTCGTCACTGCCACCACCCACAGGTCCAAGCTCCCTTCAGGTGGCCCAAGCTTCAAGGCACAAACTCCGAGTCCAGCATTGTGCTCCACTGATTTGCAGTGGTCCTGCAGAAGCAGCAAACGGAGGGAGCTCTTGCTTTTTGGGACTTGCATCTCTTCCAGTCCTTGGAATTCCTTCATGTTGTGAGGCGTTTGAGGGATCGAGTACGCTACCATTTTTCATGTCGCCAACTGAAGGTGAAAACTAACGCACTCGATGGCTGTTTCCAATGTCATGTGAAACGCCCAAGTATTGGAAAACTGCGGTGGGATGCCTCTAGCCGGCTGCAACACGGAAAGTCCACACAACTTCCCACAGGTTGGAACAAAGCCTCCCGTCAACAGTCAAGTGACAACCGAGTCACAAACACCAAAGACCACACACAACGAACGAAGTCATGACATTCATTCTAACACCACCACTCTTCAACGCCAAACCAAACCAAACTATGCTTTGTTTTTCCGTAAACCGTAAAATGCAATACACAATCCCCATCTCATCATCCCCTCTCTAGACAACAAGCTTCGCATCTTGCCTATTCCCCCTCTCTCCAAAAATGGTGCTGCCCACTCTCACCTCCCCACTCCCCATGGCAATCGCCCCCTCAAAATCCTCACTCATACCCATACTCAACTCCAGACTTCCCTTGTCCAGTCCCAACTCCTTCTCCACAAGATCCCTCTGCTCCCTCAGCACCACGAAATCCTCATTCTCGTTTTCGGGAGTCGTTGCCTTGCTCCTCGCAATGGCACCAATCGTCATCAGTCCCAGCAGGTTTAAGTGAGGACATTCCGTGACGATGGCCTTGCAAAGATCGACGGTTTCTTGACCTGGAGAGCACCCAGATTTGGACTCTTCGCCCGAGGTGTTGACTTGCACGTGGACGTTCAATTTGGGAATGGAGGGGTCTGAGGAGATGACTTCGCCGCGGACGCGGTTAAGGGTCCGGGCCTTTTTGAGGGTGTCCAAGGAGGAGACGGCCCAAAGGTTGGGGATACGGGCTAGAGACTTGCAGTGGGCTGTTCGTTCCGTTAGTTCGTAGTCACCTTCCTCGTAGTATTTTGCAGGTGAACACCTAAAGGTGGAAAAAGAATATAAAAAAAAAGAGAAAAATAAAAGGGCATACTGGTCTGAAGGCCACCAATGAAGTGCCACTGGATACTCCGCGGCAAGAGTTCCGCCTTCTGCTGCAGCTCCTGCGCATAGTTTTCGCCGAAATGGGCATGCTGGACTTGGGGAGCCTGGTGAAGCGCCAAAATGTCGTTGGCGGGCTTGAGCTTGGACACGGCCACGAGCCGGACAGGGCGACCTTTGGCGACGGCGAGGATGCGGTCTTGCACGCTTTGGAGCTGGGAAACGAGCGCGGAGGCCCGAGCGGGGTCGATCTTGAGAGGGGTTGAGCTCATGTTGAATTACTCGGTAGGTGTGAAGTTGTGAGGGGTGTGTTTTGTAATGTCGTGATGTTGGGGTGAGTGAGTGAGTGAGTGACGTCGTCGGGGATATCAGATTTGGAGATTTCAAAAATGAGGTTGTCACGGCCGGCCTGTGTCCCGCATCCATCGATTGGAGTCCAGAACCTCCGCTGGGGCTTAACTACCTAGGTGGTCCTTTCCCGCTGTCCATCCCCTGCATGAATCCTGCAGACCCGCCCAGAGTTTGCGATGCGCCCCTGCAGAAATTGTTAGTGCGACACAGTTTGTGACTTTTACAATGGAGGCGCCATACGGACGGGATCGTTGACGGCTCGAAGACCAGAAAACGTGTCACTTTGTATTGGGATACGTTTGCCTGAACTAAGCAGTGTTTAGGATATTTATGGTATTATTTGTAGATATGTTTAAAGGCCCTTTGTCCGCTACGTCGATCTATCCCGGCTTCGTCCCTCGAGTACTCGTTTAACACGAGAGCTATGAGCATGGAACTCCTCACCCCCGGGGTACGTTAGGGGGGTGGAACATCTGCACTTCGACTTCAACGTCACTTCCTTCCTCTTTCACCAAAACCTCGATCTACAGATGATGGGCCCCAAACACGGGCTCTAGATATCTGACAAACTTAATGACCATTCACTGGTTCTCCTTTTCTTTTTCGTCGACCATTCGCGTCGCTAACTTATCAACCAATAATTTGACCATCTGTACTCTGTTGACGCCGATAACAGACGGCTCGGAATTGCGACATCATCAGCATCGGCATCATGGTCCTACATCGTGAGACGACCGGTTTTCTTCGACACACCCCCTTGCTTGAACTCCCAAGGCTGCCAGTTGAGAAACGCAATCTCCATACCCGCTAAGCTTTCCATGCTGACAATTCGCCAGCTCGATGTCGCGCGCTGCTTCCACGGCCAACTCCATGCCTCAATAGGTAGGTACCTTTCGTGCTATCATCAGAGTGCAGAAACAGATACTCACAAGATGACTCACCTATCGCCAACTCTTTCCGACAGCAGATCATGGTAGTCCCTCGCTGTCTACGCCTTTTCGAGTGGCGTATACCTTCTCCTCCCCGCGTTATTCAGCAGTGTCCAGTGACCATCTTCATTCCCGCGATAGGATCATTTCAGTCATCACTCATACCCCTTCCCGACCCCTGCCCCTAAAAGGCTACTCCTGTCGATGAGGTGTGATTAATAACTGAATTACCCAAAGCCGGATACGGGGGCGAAAGAGAAGGGCGAACGGGCAAGTGTCGAGCGGGAAAAAAACAGCAAAAACTGATGGGCCATCAACCCTATATTACCACTAGTCACGATCACAACCCTCAAGATGGCGCCGAAATGTTGACGTTGACTTCAGTCAAGACAGTTGGTCCCACGCTAAACCCCTAACGAAACCCAAAGCCCTCTTCTCCTCAAAGTTCATCTCCTTCCACTTCCCCGCGCTACATCTATGCCCATCCTGGAAGCTGAACCCCTCCTTCAATGTTTGAGCTTTCTCCCAGTGGAACTGGGCCATAACCCCTCGTCGGAACTTGTTCAGCGACAAGGGCACCATGTCTGATCAGGAGTCCGACACCTTTCATAAGCGCTTTCATCCTCTGCGTCTTCTCCCTGCCCCAGACGTGGAATGGGACGTGAACAGACGGCAACGAGCTCACAAGGATGACGTCGTAAGGCCTTGCGAAACATCGCTCGCTGGCGCCAAATGTCTTCGCTTGTTCTACCTCGACGGCGATGATGGCGGATGGAAGCAGTTCTTGCCCTCCCGCGCGCAAATCTTGGCCTGTCGGATGGCCAATGCGTCCAATACTCTTCCAGAACAGTTCACCGGCGCTTTGGGTCGTCTCTATCGCCTTCACCTGGTGGAGGTGGATCCGGCAGACTTTGACGGATCCGCCTCCCGCCTGCAGGAAGTGCAGGAACGTATACAGGAACGCAAATTCCGTCAGGAGATGGATGAGCTTGAGGAAAAGATGCTGAGCAACCAGGCGCGATACCTGGAGCATGTCAACACCCGGCTGCACCGACTCGAGGGCCTTATTAGCGAGTCAGACGTCGATGTGCTAACTGACTGCGTACGGGACCTCGCCCTCGCCACCAGGGGGAAACGCTGCAGGAGATCTCCTCCCCTCAGAAGGAAGCCACGGACCCAAACGAAGGGGTCAACGAGACACCCAAACAACTTGGAAAATCACCGCTTGATGAGCCAGTCCCTCCTGCCGACAATTCAAGAGACAAAGAAGAACCCACGACTGAGAAAGGAACCCCTGGTGATTCGCCCGTCAACATCGAAGGCCCAAGCCACGTACAAGAAACGCTGGAGGAGATCTCCTCCCCAGAGGGGGAAGCCATGGACCCAAATGAATGGATGAGCAAGATACTCAAGCAACTTGCTGAGCCAGCCCCTCCTGATGACAGTTCAAAGGACAAGGAAGAGTTTAGCACCCGCAGGTGCAGGAAACCATCGCCTTTACCGACTCTGCCAAAGTTGGCAGCGAGTTGACTACCAAAATTATGCGCCAAACGCAGGTACTGATCGTCAACAGGGGTATGACGACCCTACTTAAGCTTCCCAATGGTTCGATGTCCTACCCATCGGCGGACATTCCCCCATGAAAATCCATACGGTTCATCTCTCCCATGGGCTGAAGAAGGGGCCGGTCGCGGCACATCCAGTTGTACGGGATAATGACTTTCAAGACGGACACGAAACGTGCCCAGAAGTGGATCGAGTCCTTTCCTTCCCAAATTCCCAAGGACCTCATCACTCGCGCGGCCTCGGCCGTCCACCTCTCCCGCCGCGACTCATCGACACCCTGCTCCTGTCCGTACCTTACTGTCCAGTCGGAAAACTTTCATCCCTACTTATAAGACAGAACGTCTTTTCCTCAAGAGGCCAGCGATTACTTGGAACATATCAGATGCCCCAATACCTCGCACCCGGTTGCGAAATCCAAAAGGGCTGGAAGTACCTCGCAGCGTCATCGTTCTCTTGTTGACGGTCTCTTCTGCGACAGAGTCTATTGAACTGCCCATACCGGATCCTTGTCCCACCTCTTCTTCTTCTTCGGGACTTCAGCCTCCGAAGGGGCCTTGTTGTGCTCCTCAACATGACTTTGCTGGGCATTACTTGTAGGTTGCCGGAAAGATGGCTCTGTATGCGGCAAATTAGGCCGCGGTTGGTGGTAGCGGTGCCGCTACCGATATAGAAACGTGGGCAATCCCCATTCTTCTTAAGAATGAGAAGATATACCCCCCAAAGGTCTTGCGGGCAGGCTGGGGACAGGCCTTTAAAGAAGGAGAGAGGCGGCGGCGTTTGACGGTTGAATAGGGATTCGAACCCCGGAGCGAACTCGAAATTGCACCACAACAATAACTCCCCAATTGCTCTTCACTACCAAAAAGAGGCCGATAGTTGGCATGAACCTTTTTCAGATTCTGGACAGTATTCCATCCAACATACGCCAACTTTTCAAGGAAAGTGGACGGGGTCCCAGCCACTTGGTCGGCTACCCGTTGACTTTTGCCAGCCGTGGTCGGCTGGTTCTCGGATTCGAACCGCAGTCAGTCATCGAACTCGTCTTCCCAGCCAGCCTCGGCCTCTTCTCTGGCCTTTGCGGCCGCCACATTGGCCTTGTGGCGAGGCAGAGAATTGTGATGGTTTTGGTGCCACGGGGTTGCGAAGGCCACCGAACAAACATCGCAAAAAAGGAGGCGGGCATTCTTGACCAATTTTCTTTTGGCCTGTTCAACGGGGTTCCACTTTGCATTGGATCGTGCTGTAAAGGCTTTGATCGAAGCCGGGTTTCGATCTGATCTTTGCCTGAGTTTTTCAAGGCGCCGCCGATTGGCTTCAGATCTATCAAAAATTTCAACCCGTTGTTTGATTGTCAAGTGGGTTATGGACCCCCTTGCGAGTTCCGTCAAATAGTTGTGGGAGTAAAGTCCCGACCAGCGTAGTTTATCAATTGGCCAGACCGAATGGATTTTCAAATTCTCATAGGGCCGCTTCGGATCTTCAATCGGGTGCATAGTCCAGAGGATGGACGATAAGATGGACTCAAGTCCAATGGTAACCAATCGAGCGAGGGCCCGATGTGAAGGGTGGGGGATTGGGAAGGACGCCAGGACAGCAACGTGTGTGAGGTGGTAACCACTTTCGGCTGGTTCTCGGACTCGAACCGAGTAATCGCCATTTTCCTTTTGTTGACGCGCCGTTCAACGGTATCAGCCTCCCGAACCAGCTTCTGGTCCCGGCGGTCGGCTTCCAAGGCAGCCAGTTCAGCAGTAGCGTGGGCTGTAACACCCAACGCATCATCCCGCCATACTTAGCGACGCGCTTGGCGGTCTTGCCCTTGCCGGCAATCTCAGCGACTTCATAGGTGGACTTGGGAGCAGACATTGTAGTGGTGGTGCTGGTGATGCTGCTGGTGATGCTGCTGGTGATGCTGCTGGCGCTGATGCTGGCGCTGATGCTGGTGGTGATGAATAGAAGCTGACGATGGTGAAATGTACAAATAATGTTCGAATATCGGATGGAAGACTGTGATCGCGTCAGGATGCCGATAGTCAGTCACCGAAGGGAGAAATGGGGCCAAGAACCTGAATATCCACCTGGAGGTACCTATTATCGTGAATACCTCTACCTATACACCTATTGTCCGTGAACATATACTGGTTGTCTATGAACACTAGATGAAAAGCCAAGAATAGGTAAGTAATTCAATATCAGGTCTACGGCTCCAGGTCGGTAAGTGAATGTGGAAAATGCGAAAGCTCGGGTCTGCGGCTCCAGGTCGGTACCACTAGTGAGTGAATGTGGGAAATGCGAAAGCTCGAGTCTGCAAGATAAATTCCTTCCTTCATGGTCGCTCGCAATTTTCAGACTTTCCTCTTGAACCTCAGACGACAACGCCTAATACGCGCTATCAAAAAAAAAAAAACGTCGTCTTCGCAACTGGTCTCGTTGCATTGCATCCAATTGCCTCCCATCTTCAAAATGTCGGCTCCAATCGAACAATCCATCTACTTGAGAGACACGAACCAGAACTTCGTCATAGACGTCACCGTTTCGGGCGCTCAAAGCTTCACGTTTACGCTTGTTACCGGACAGGATTTGGTAAGTGTTTGCAACCTACCTCTACCTTTACCTTACTACCTACACATCCCCCGCCATCTTCTTCGCATTAAAAGGGGAGCCGTATACTAATTGGATATCTACTACCTATGTGGTACCAGAATCAGCACCCGCCGGCTGAGCTCAACTTTCATCCTGTTGTCTTCCAAAATGTCGACTTCCTCGACATCCACAACCATGGGCATGATTTCGTACAGGCACCGATCCGTAATCTGGAGGAGCTCCAGTACGAGCCAGTCGACGTTCCGAACTTGAACATGGTAAGTGTTCACCCACCCATCATCCCCATCTATCCTCCAAGCAAACCAGAGCCAAGCGTTAACGGAATCTACCAGCAGCTGGGTGTGCCCGCTGTGCCCGCCGTGCCGGCAGTCCCCGCCATTCCCGCCATTCCAGGCTTCCCAGGCTTTTCAGGCTTTCCTGATATTCCTGGTATTCCTGGTATTCCTGGTATTCCTGCTGTTCCTGCTGTTCCTGCTATTCCAGCCATTCCCGCTGTGCCCGCTCTCTATCTCCCAGATGAAGACGTCTCGGAAGAACCCACCGTCGTCCGTCGTCCCCAACCCAAGAGTAAAATCTCGGGGGCCTCCAATGCCGCCAGATCTCAAGCCTGGAAAGCGCTGATGAGAAAGTGGGAGACTTTCTCCATCACGCGCATGGCCCGCCGCCGCCGCAATCATGGCTCTACCTCGCGATTCCAGAAGCCATCCAAGCTCCGTCGCCAGTCGCCCATGTCTACCGCTGCTATGCCCGCCGCTGCTATGGGAACGGCCAAGAAGCCGATTGACACTACGATCAAGAAGGAGGAGGGAAAGGAGGAGTAGAGGAGGGGGTTTGGGAATTTGGAGGAGAGGGTACCTCTACCTAGGTAGTTGGGATGAGCAAGTCCACTTGGGGACGGGAGCGAGGAAAGAGTGTATGATGGAGTCCAGGGTGTTGGGGGAAAGGAAGATTGGAGTTGCTTCGCTAGAATCAGTCAGGACCTGGGAAAGGACGGGAGTGTAGGAGGGACCCGACGGATGTCTTGTGAAGCCGATTGACAAGGACAGAGGACGTCCATCACGGTATCATTGAGAGTCTAGAAGTGTACCTAGGTACCTCTACTGTATCTACAGGCAGTTGCGCCTGGGCTGGAGGGGTAGATGCCCTGGAGATCAGAATGGCGTGGCTAGTACCTCTAGAAGGCGTCCCAGAAGAAGGAAAGAGCGGTTGACAGGGAAAGGAGCAGGCAGGAATAGCATACAAGGCAGGACTCGGAACATGGAAAGAAAAGCGGAGATAATAGATACGTCTAGAGTACTACCTTCCTCACGGCACTCTTGTGTCCGTCATGCCGACAACTTGAAGTGATTGCGTCCGTTTTCCCTTGCCAATTTTCTTGGGATTTCGACTTCCGTTGGTCGTAAGACTCCGACTATTTCCTCCCTCGATGTCCCAATTAGCCCAATCATACCTAGGTACGACGGAAGTCGTCGTAGTTGAACTTTGGTGGCTTCTCTTCGACCACGGCCTTTTCCTGGTCGATTTGAACCCCCAAGTCCTTGGCGCCCCTCACAATCAGCACCCCATCACTCAGCAGGTTCTTGAGAGGGTGGCTTCGGGAAGTTAGGTAGCTTCTTGATGACGGCACTGCTGGTCGTTTCCTGCTCAACGCGTTCCCTAGTGGCCTGCTACGGCTCACCATCGGGTTGTGTGAGATGGGCAATTCTATCCACCATTTCAACATACCAGAAGCCTCAGAAATGTACCGGCTCGCCTCGTCCCCCAGTGGATGGAACGGACAGCCTTTGGCTGTGTGGCGTGCCGCCTTGGACGTTTGCCCTACCCTTGCGACTCCGACGGCTCTTTTCAGCAACCACATAAACAATAACAACTAAAACAACATGACGAGTGGTGTGTTCACTTCATTCGATATCTTGCCACAGCCTTCGCTGGACCGCCTACAGCTGGATCGGAGCGTACTCTGGGTAATCCCCTTCCTATTGTGGTTCTGCTGTTCTATTGTGCCTCTCGTGAGACATGGGATGGAAATCTGTCAATAGGTGAATGTGAATAAGGTTACCGTCCATCAAGAACCTGCAAGTGAAATGTGTGGCAGCTGGCAGGATCATTCAATGCTCGTCCTTCCCCATCTATAAAATCTCTCCATCAAGACTTGGACCTGAAGTCGAACGTCGTCTCTTCTCGAGAATTGGAAACCACATTACTTCGAACTCACACACCAAAGTCATCACAACCTTTTCTCATTTTCTCCAACCATCTCCTCCACTCACAGAAAGTCAGCAAAATGGCATCCACCACGGCCATGACCAAGCATTGGCTCGAGCACGACGCCATTCCCATCCCCGCGCCGCGCTACTCGCCGCGAACGGATGCAGATGGCAAGCCCATCTTTGCCCCCACGGAGAGCAAGGTCAGTTCGAATTCATCCCTCTCCCCCATCCTTCCTTGGTGAAAAAGAAATACTAACCTCACTCCCCAATTCACAGAAGCCCTCTACGGCAGACTTTCTCCGTCCTCCCCGCGATGACGAGGGCAACCTTGTCACCCTCCCACTGCTCGCCGCTCTCCGCGCCCGCAAGGCTGCTCGCGCCGCTGCCTCCGCTGCTTCTCCCAAGAAGAAGACCAAGACCAAGACCGTCGGCCCCAAGAAGAACGACCCGCGCCCCGTTTTCTTTTCTGGCTGCATGCCCGGCTCCCAGCCCGGCCGCGTCCTCTGGCTGCAAGGCCTCGATTACTTTGCCGCCTCCCGCGCTGAACTCAAGGCGGGAAAGAAGGGTGGAAGCGGCAACGGTCGTAGTCGCCCGCCGAAGCACGTTCGCGAGCAGAATGCACACAAGGAGGAGGCGCTAGCTGAGAAGCAGTGCAAGTTCATCGAGAAAAGTTGTCCGGGGGTGAAGTATGGGGAGGATAAGGAATGGAAGAGAAGGGAGAAGGAGGAGAAGGAGAGGGTGGGGAGGGAGGCGATTGTCAGGAGGATCAAGGAACAGATTGAGAAGGGGGTTCGATATTGAAGACGGGGTGGTGGTGGGATGCTGAGGATTGGTAATAACTACCTACCTACGAGTAACGGGATACTATGTTGGCAATGAGAAATGAATTGGGAAAGGATGAACAGAGATATAACCAGGGACAATACCCCTTGATGAATATACGCATGCTCCTACTTCAGGTACATTAAGGGTTTTTGACAAAAGACAATGTGAGGTTGATACCACCATCCAGTCGTAACTGTAGAGACCTTCACTCCCCTTATTTATGGCCTTCTCCTCTTCATACTCTCTCCTCGTGCTCCCAGTCCAGTTAGCAACCAGCCAGCTGGTCCTCGCCATACTCACACAACCAGGTCATCATGTTCTTGAAAGTGCTAATGACATCTCCATTTCCCGCAGTGGAAAGAAATCAGGTTTCGAGTTACCTGCGTGTACGTCACCGACCACCAAAGCACGTAGTATTTCACACGGCTTTGATCTGTCGAATCACTCCAGTCGAAACCAGGTCAAAGCAACCTCCCTAAGGTAGGTATTTAATCCGAAAAATGTTTTGAACTTCTCGATTCACATGTGTATTTAAAATTGCAAACAGGGATGCGTCCAAGAGTCTGTAAGGCAGGTGCCCTTCTACATTAGCAAACCTCTCCTTCCTTCATAAACATGCCTACCCCTCTTCTATCAAGATGCTCTGTCCTTCATCCCCTACTCTGGTAAACCCAGCCAAAAGCCGACTCGGGGTAGAAGTGCTTCAAAATACATCTGCATGAATACAATGTCGCGCCATCTGATTTCACCTTCCAGAACAAACCCTTTCACCGCACACCTCTGACGATGGATCAACACATGTAATGAACCAACAAAGCTTCATCGCAGAACTCAAATCCTCTGGAACATTCTACATCCTTGAGAAACACCCCTGGACTTTCCGAAAACGGAACCTTATAAGAGGTAAGACAGGCTCGTTCAGGATACATGACAGGAGGGAAATGTGTCAAAACTACCATTTCAATGGTACAAGTGCACCTCAATCGATCGAGACAAGGCGCGATCAACCGGGTTTCCCTCAAGCAATCCCTTGTACCTCTCACGGCCGCCGACGATGGACGACGGTACCCGAAGCTCAGACTCGTATGCTTGTTCCAACTTTTCCTTTGTGGACCGAATAGCCTTCGCTTCGTCAACAACTTCTTGAACCTCCTCCGGCGACATATTTTCGATCGAAACACGCCACCGATCGATGATTGCACGACTCGAGTCGTACATGGCCTGCGTGATCTGGGCGCGCTCCAGAAGTTTATCGAGCTCTGCCACTCTGGCCTGGCACACGTCGCAAATTCGCTGAATTTCGAGAACTGACCCGTTGACAAAGTCGCGCAACTTGGGGGGACCGCCGCGGGTGTGGTGGGTAGTGTTGAGCTCGGTATACCGCGCGTTCCAGATGCAGGCTTCCACATATAACTTCAAGTCGAAAAGCGTGCCTGATTCTTTCAAGCAGAAATAGA